AAGTTTTTTTAAGTGGTAGTATCACGTATATATATCTCTTATATAAGTTCTACTCGAAACTCAATGTTTTTTAATATCCCCAACTAATCCTTCCTAAAATGACTTAATAATAATAGTATCAAAGGATAATTTATCTTCATGAGACCAATCAAAGTGAATATGTTAAAGAGTAATCTTTTATCAAAAGTCTTCCTTAAAAGTTTTAGATTAACATATTTCTTTATAATTTATAAAGGATGATATAAGTATCAACATAGAAAGACTTGTACTTAAAATAAAAATTCCTAAATACCTCAAATTGAGTTTAAATATTTCATTAAATAAAAATAAAAAAATTGGGAATTCAACTATCTAATAGTTGTCAGAGTAGCTGCAGCAGAATGATTAGCGTGGAATAACAAACTAAGAGAGTTTTTAATACAAACGTGTGTTTTTTAATTTCTACTCAATTAAACTTACCAAACAAACAATAATAACAAATAAAGAAAGTAAGGTTGAGAGAAATTTGCACAAATAATTTTATCATAGTTCGTCTTATATCCAGTTGCTTATCTCAAATCAAGATAAACAGTTATCACCGCACAGTGCAGATAAGATTTTTCAAAATACACTTATTTTGTCGTATTTTGTATTTTCTTATTTTAGAATGAGAGTTTCAAATCTGATTTATAGAGATCTCAGTCAAAGATACACCCCAAAAATCCATTGTTAACTAATTAATGTGTGATAATCAATTATCCAATTATGATAATTAGTTATGCATTTAATGAATCCACAATGGTAAATTATAATCAATTAATTGATTACTCATAATCAATTATTATAAATTAATAATAAATTATCTTGAAAATAAAATGATGTTTTCTGATTCAAAATAAATTTTAATACAACCTAAAGCAAATAATACATAGAATCAAATATAAACTATATCCTATACATAAATCTACTAAACTATAAAAGTCTTAATATAGAAAATTGCAGCTTTTTATCTTTATGCTAACAATAGTAAATAAGTTGGAATAGGTTGGAAAATTAAGATTATGTAATCATAAAAATAAACTTCATTCATTTCAACATTTTTATTATTGTTTTCATTTAACATATCCCTATATAATTTCTAAAAATAAGTAGATGAATGCATATGTTAAAAATAGCATGTACCAAGAGAGTCACACTAAAGATAAAAATTCCTAAGAATCTCAAATTGAGTTTGAATATTACATTAAATAAAAATTAGAAAAAATAGTAAAAAGGTGAGTAGGTTTGAAAATTAAGATTATGCAATCATAAATAGATAGGTTGTTCTTTTCAACTTTTTTATTATTGTTAAAAGTACTTTCATTTGGGAAATGGTATTTCTTTAAATATTATAGGGTGTCTAAACTTTTAGAAAATATAATATAAAAATAAGATTTTTTTATTACACTGACAGACCGCTTCAGTTAACTCTTAGCAGAAGCTGAAATTTGTTTGTCTTTCAACACAATCTTTTTATAATTGTAATAGAATAGAATACAATTTTTTTTATACAATTGTAATAGAATATAATATAATTTGTGTTTTTTTTATGGTAGAGAATCACACTTCCACAATTTAATCTTGTATTTTGTTTTAATTTGGTATTTTCTCTTCTTTGAGTTTGACGACTTTCCTTTTGTATATTTCAAATAGGTTTAATACCTTATTTTGTCTTCAGTTTCGTTCGAAAATGTCAAATTAGTCCATCTTTTAAAGAGTCTGTCAATTACGTTTTTACTTAATAAAATTTATATCAATGAAATCTCTTCCGTTAAATCCGTATAAATAGTTAATTATTTTTCTATCTTCTACTTTTTCTGTGCAATGCAGCCGCTTTTTTTCACACTTCTATTATTCTTTTTCTCTCTCTTCTACCAATTTTGTTAGTGATTTAATTTTATAACAAAATCAAATAATTATCTCAAGCTACACCTCCAGACCAAACCAGCAATGGCATTATCAGGTCACAATACCAAATACTGCACCATGAGCTTGAACATGCACATTCACCATCAGGTAAATGTTTACTGGATTTCAAATTTACAAAATCGGTTCTTGAAATCTCGCAATTGCTTGTACAGGATACTTCTGAACTTGTGTTTCGCAACATGGTAGCTTTAGAGCAGTGTCATTATCCTTATAAATCCTACATTACTGATTATATTGTAGTTCTGGACGTTCTAGTAAACACAAGCCATGACGTGGATCTACTGGTTCGTAAGGGAATACTGGTGAACTTTTAAGGAGACAACGATTCTGCGGCTAAAATGATTAATGGTCTTTGTAAAAATGTACTGCGGAAAAATTTTAGTTGCCATTACTTTCATCTCTACGAAGACTTGAATGCTTTCTGTAGAAATCCCTGTCATAAATTGATGTCAACTTTGAAACGTGATTATTGTAAAGGTCCATGGCAAACCGCTGCTACAATTGCTGCAATTGTTCTTCTTGTTCTCTCTTTTGTTCAAACACTTTGCTCTATCTGGGAAGTATATAAGCGTTAGAACCCAATACCTGCTCAATAACTCTTTCATCTTTCCTTGTTTGCTGTTTATGTTTTTTTTTTTCATTTGTACCTTTTTTTAGCTTTGTTGTATCATGATCTCTTTGTCTTGTTGCTTAATTAAGAGCAACCTAGTTCTCTTTTTTATGTTGTGTTTGGTGTGTCATTTTGCTACCAATTATTAATGTACCGTGTTTAGTAATTTCAATGCCATCAATTATGTCAGGTTTATTTTAGTTTTGTTTTTTTGCTCATTTCTTTTTCTTTGCAAATTATTTTATTGACATAATAAATAATTTAATCTACGTACCAATGTATACCGTGTGTTATATTAACAGATTAACAATTGAAAATTAAAGGAATAAAAGACCAATTTTATTTGTGAGAGGAACCAGGTCAATGATTTTATATAAAATTAAATCACTAAGAAAATTGGTAGAAGAGAGATAAGAAGAATAGTATAGTAAAAGAGAGAAAAAAATTTGCTGGAAGGGATTTCATTGATATAAATTTTATTAAGTAAGGACGTAATTGACGCACTTTTTAAATGATGGACTAATTTGACATTTTCTAGTGAAACTGGGGACAAAATAGGGTATTAAACCTTTCAAATATGAGTGGGGTATATGCTAAAAGAGTGAAGTTAGTTTTTGATTACCGATTGATATTATTACATTTAAGTCTTAAATGTCCAATAAAACAAACAACTACCTCTCCATCTTACCTATGTATTTATAGATTTTTAAGTGGACTTTTAATTAGAACTGACCCAAATCTTATTAATCAAACTTTTAGTTTCATCGGATCAAATGGTTTCAATATTTATGTTTAACCGATCGACTCAACTACGATTTATTCATGAAGTTGATTTTTTGTAATCGATCGACCGGTGAGTTGTAGACTAGTCGGTCTATATAGTACAATTTCTTTTTACAAAATCTCTATAATTAAATAAATTTTGTTTATTCTTAAATAAATTATTAATAACATTATTTTATCAAACTTAAGGTTTGAACATTGACTTATGGAAATAAAATAAAATTTCAAAGAAAAATGATCTTCTAGAAGTTTTTTAACTCTAATTCTAGAAGTTTTCTTAACTCCAATTTGATAAACTTATTCGAAAATATTAAATATTATTACATTGATTAGAAGTTATTATCAAAATTAATTTCGACTTAGAAAAAAAAACATAAAAGAAATTACAAAAAGTTATCTCTATTTTATAATGATACTAAATTACAAGAAATGAAACAGCATTATGTTACTGCTCAAGTTTTTTTTACCTTTTTCATTAAATAATTAATTAGAAAAGTAGAATTTTGTGATATTGTTAAAATAATGTGGAAATTAAAAAAACTTGGAATTCAACTATCCCATAATAAATAAGATGGGTGGGTAGGTTGGAAAATTAAGATTATGTAATCATAAATACAAGATTAGTTCATTTCAACATTTTTATTGTTGTTAAAAGTACTCATTGTATATATTCCTTTATAACTTCTAAGAATAAGTAGATCACCAATGCATCTGTTAAAAACAGAAAAAATAGAATGTACCAGACTAACACTTGAGAAAAACATTTTTAAGAATTTCAAATTGAATTTGAATATTAAATTAAATAAAAATAAAAAAGTACTAAATAAGGTGAGTAGGTTGGAAGATTAAAATTATAAAATCACAAATAGAATATTCTTTCATTTCAACATTTTTATTATTATTAGAAGTACTTTCATTTGGAAAATGATATTTCATTTGAATATTATAGTGTGTCTAAAAATTTGAAAATATAATATAAAAATAAAAATTTTTTCATTACACTGATGATATTTTAATAACTTCTTTTAACAATTTTTTGACAATAAATTACGTGTCACTATTTTATTGATATGTATATTTGAGATCGATCAATTACATATTGTTATAAAAAAGTTGTGAAAAAAATTGTTAAAAAGGAAATTTTCCTTTAATCAATTCTAAGCAAAAGCTGAAATTATGTACACAATCTTTTTATAATTGTAATAGAATATAATATAATTTCTTTTTATAAAATCTCCTGAATTAAATATTTTTTGTTTATTCTTAAAATATTTTTTCTCAAAAAACTTAAAAGATCAAAGTTTAAAACGATGAGTCAAATACCAACAGATTTAGGTCAATATTTTTAACAATATTTAGAATTTAATCAAAAAGCATACGAAAATAGACTTCCAAAATAAATTAAAAAGTCGTATTTTAATTTACAATTTCAACATGTTTCAGTTCACATTTTTTAAAGTTGAAATTAATAATTAAAATATGGTTTATAATGAAAATAAAACCACATTTCGAAACGTATAGTTTTCTAATCGTATTGTTTATAAAAAGTTGACCTATTTTAATAATTTTTCTAAAAATCTTCTCGCCGGAATAAGTTGTCGACTCAATGGGTCTAGAAGAGGAGTTCGGATATTAGGTTTACTTCGAAGGAGAATAGCAAAAAAGGAGATACATATATGGGTTGTGTAAAGAAGCATCCTCGTCCACAGGTGTCGTTATCAAGATGTTATTTCCAGTTTTCGTGCTCATCTGTTTTTATCAGAATCAATCGGATCAAGAAGAACATCTCCCCAACTATAAGAGAATTGAAGCACTCAACCAAATGATTTTGAAAGTGAAGTGGACACCATAGTCCCATAATCAGACATCAACCAAAAAATTGTTAACATGTACCACGAAAACCCTCTCTCCAACTACACAGTTCCACTTACAATCTGCCTGTTGTTATTTCTCTTTATTCTTTTGTCCATTTCCAGAAAGCTCAAAAACCACAGTGCTGCAACAAGAAAAGCACCGCCAGAAGCAAGTGGCGCATGGCCTTTAATTGGTCACCTCCACCTCTTAGGGGGGTCCAAACCGCCACACGTTACGTTGGGCCACATGGCGGACAAATACGGCCCCATCTTCTCCTTACGCCTGGGAGCTCACAAAACGCTGGTTGTGAGCGATTGGGAAATGGCCAAAGAGTGCTTTACCGTCAACGACAGAACGTTCGCTAACCGTCCAAAATCCATGACCTTTGAAGTGTTGGGCTACAACTCCTCCATGATTGGGTTCATCCCCTACGGATCTTACTGGCGCCAGATGCGCAAAATCGCCACGCTTGAGCTCCTCTCTTCTCACCGCATAGACACGCTGAAGCATGTGATGAAAGCCGAAGTGAAAGCAGCGATGAGAGAGAGTTATAATTTGTGGTTGAAGAAGAAAAACGGCTTTTCCGAAATGAAGAGGTGGTTTGGAAACATAGCGTTGAACATTATGTTCCAAACGGTGGTAGGAAAACGTTTTGTAAGTAACGGCGGCGTGAACGAAGAGAACGAACGACTCCGAAAGGTATTCAGGGATTTCTTTGATCTGGGCGGTTCATTCGCTGTGTCTGACTGTATGCCCTATTTGAGATGGTTAGATTTGGATGGTATAGAGAAGAAAATGAAGAGAACGGCGAAAGAGATAGATGGGTTTGCTCAGATTTGGCTTGAAGAACACAAACGCAACCGGGATTGTAGTTCAGGTGAACGGAAACATAGCCATGACCTGATGGACGTGCTTCTTGGACTTGTTGAAAAGGGTGAAGAGTTTGATGGTCATGACTCTGACACCTCAATCAAAGCTCTGTGCATGGTATACGTCTCAACTTTTAATTTGTTACTTCCTCTCTTCCTTATTTCTCACAAGAAAAATGATAATTAATCTTTGATTCAAACAGAATACGATGGTTGTCTATTAAAGTTAGAAACAATATCTTTCTTTTCTCATTATTGGTAGACAAATATAAAAGGTTTTTTCACTTTTGTATTTTGTAGACTTTAATTATGGCTGGTTCAGATAGCACAGCAGGAACATTGGCATGGGCTCTGTCTTTACTTCTCAATAATCGTGAAATTCTAAAAAAGGCCACTGACGAATTAGATGCAGAAATTGGGAGTAAAAGGATGGTAGATGTTTCAGATTTGAAGAAACTAAAGTATCTTGAATCTATTATCAAGGAAACACTACGTTTATACCCAGCTGGACCACTTAGTCTGGTACACGAGTCCATGGAAAATTGCACAGTGGGTGGATATGATGTAGCATCCGGCACACGTCTTTTGACTAATCTTTCAAAACTTCAGAGAGATCCATCTTTATATCCAAATCCCCTTGAATTTTGTCCAGAAAGATTCTTAACAACACACAAGGAAGTGGACGTGAAGGGTCAACATTTTGAGCTGATTCCATTCGGTGCAGGTAGAAGAATGTGTCCTGGGATATCTTTCAGTCTCCAAGCGACGCAACTCACACTTGCTACCTTATTGCATGGGTTTGATATTGTAACTATTGATGGAGGACCTGTTGATATGGCTGAACAGATTGGCTTTACCAGCATTAGAGCTTCTCCCCTCCAAGTCATTCTTTCTCCGCGTCTTACTTCTCATATTTATGATCAAATCTAAACGCTAAATGATGTTGGAGAGTGGTAGAATATAATATGCATGTAAGAATAATAAGCTTTACAAGCACATCATGCTAGTAAAAGTGTGAAAAGGGTTAATTTTAGTCGTACAGAGCATGTTGTACAAACTTAAATTTAGGGAGTNGAGAGATCCATCTTTATATCCAAATCCCCTTGAATTTTGTCCAGAAAGATTCTTAACAACACACAAGGAAGTGGACGTGAAGGGTCAACATTTTGAGCTGATTCCATTCGGTGCAGGTAGAAGAATGTGTCCTGGGATATCTTTCAGTCTCCAAGCGACGCAACTCACACTTGCTACCTTATTGCATGGGTTTGATATTGTAACTATTGATGGAGGACCTGTTGATATGGCTGAACAGATTGGCTTTACCAGCATTAGAGCTTCTCCCCTCCAAGTCATTCTTTCTCCGCGTCTTACTTCTCATATTTATGATCAAATCTAAACGCTAAATGATGTTGGAGAGTGGTAGAATATAATATGCATGTAAGAATAATAAGCTTTACAAGCACATCATGCTAGTAAAAGTGTGAAAAGGGTTAATTTTAGTCGTACAGAGCATGTTGTACAAACTTAAATTTAGGGAGTTTATTTGTAAGTTTGTTTGAGTTTTATTTTGAAACCTCACCTCCTTTCCTTCCTGCATATGCCATTTTACACTTGTGTTCTCATTTACTTAATATTTCTCAATCACAAGCAATCTTTCTAACCTTCAACAGCCTAAATGGTATAAACCCTAAATATCATTATTATTCTACATGCACCCCCTTCACTTTTATTTCTCTGACTTTCATTTTTCACTCCTTCAGTTCTTCATGCTTTGTTATATTGTTTTCTTCTCTTCTTCATTTAAGATTAAAACCTAACAAAAAAAATCAAATTTTACAAACAAAACAAAAAATTCTTAAAATAAAATATAATAACTTAATAACAAAATAACACAGTCCAGGACTAGAGACCCTAAATCGAAAAATACAGCCGCAAATCGAACTATGGTTGGCCTTAGCTGTAGTTCGAACTGCGGAAAACCCAGATCCGCACTTCCAAGTGCTCCAGCAGCCATGCACCTCCAGAGACTAACCGCAAATCCACCTGCAGTTACTGTCTCACGCAGATCCAACCGCGGCGCAACCATATCCGCACTTCTAAGTGCGGCCGCCATTAACCGCAGTTCCATGTGCGGTTTGGCCTGCAACTCCCGCCCAGATCAAAGCAGATATAAGCACAAACATTCTATCATTTTTCCCCACCGCATATACTAAAGAACAACCACAAATCAAGATAAAATAATGGACGTTGATGTACGAGAAGAAGACATCCTGCAACCATGGCACCAATGATTGAAGAAACGAGGGACGAGAACTAAGGCACCAACACGAAAAACAGTGAACAAAAAACTGAACAGAGGAAAGGAAGAGCACTCACGTTCAAAAAATTGTGAAAAAGGAGGGAAGAGGGCAGAAAAGTAGAGAGGAGAAAGAAGAAAGACTCAAAGGTAGGGTTTCACATGAGATGCAGCAAAGAGGAGAAAGAAGCACGGGGTGTACGGTTTAAAGCGAGATGGAGCTAAGGAAAAGTTTTAATTTTATGAGTGAATGAGTCAACATTTTTAGAAAATCAATGCACATAACAGAAGTAGAGTTAGGAATAGAAGTACAGTTGAAATTAAAACAAAATTAAAAGGTGCAAGATAAACTTGTTTCTATTATTGGTTTATTTTTTGTTGCGTTGGTAATCGAACATACAATAAAGTGACTAATAATTATAAGAACAAATAAATCAAGTACATTTTAAAAATGTGACCCTAACATATAATATATATAACTGATATTTTCTCTGGTCTCAAAATAAAGTTTAATTTAGAAGAAATTTATTTTAAAGTTATTTTTCATAAGTTGTATTAAGAAAGGATAATAATATTTTAATAATTTTTTTAACAATATTTATGTATCATTGTTTTTGTTTCTATAACGATATATTTGAAATAAATCAATTACAAACTTGAGTTTGTTGTAAAAAAATTATAAAAAAATTTATTAAAAAAATATTTCCCAAAAAGATATTTTCCTGAAGTAGTCGAAATAACACAATTATTGTTGTGTGTGTCTATTGTGGGGCCATCTATAACTCCATGACTAATCACGTGAAGACCTGCCAATAGGACACGCAGGACCCAATTTTCCCTATCCGCATGATAGGAACGAGTCAAAGCACTGACCTGTGCTGTCGGAACTGGATTGCTTAAAATTATCTATATTTTTAAATAAAAATTTATATTTACTAAATTTTTATATTTATTAGATATAATTTTTTTGTTTTATTTGATATTATCAAAATTGTTAACACAAAAGAGTATACACTAAATTTTTTTAAATATCAAATTTAAAAATATTTGATAATTTTATAAATATTAAAATAAAATACTAAAAAAATAATTTTTAATTAATTGTTAGTAGACAAGTTAAATTTTTGAAAGCCATATTTTCTTAAACAATTATATGACAACTAATTTTAGTAAAACATTAGACTCAAACAATAATAATAAATATAAATAATTTTTTTTTAAAATGTAACAAAAAAATTATCATTTCAATAAAAGAAAAGAAAAAAAATTATAATATAAAAAAATTAATTTCACAAACTTTCTTTTAACATGTATTTTAATTTTATTATGTAATTGAAATCTCTTATTCTTTGTTAAAGAATAAATACATCTAACTATACAATTTATTAATGAGTTTAAATAAAATCAAAGTTGGAAACAAAACTTCTAAGTATATACTTCAGAAAAAAACATCTCAAAAGTTATCTAACTATCTTTTCACTAATAAATTTGTCAAATTACTTCACTAACTCGTCTCTCTTCAATATTTTGAATTGTATTTCTTTTTAAGAAAATATTTTTTTATCAATTTTTTTATAACTTTTTTACACCAATCTATACGATAGTTTCTGATTAATGTGTTTCAAATAATATACATATAAGTAAAATAGTATCATAGTAATAGATACTGTATTGTAAAAAAGTTGTATAAAAGTTCTTAAAAAAATGGTTAAAATATCATTATTTTTTTTATCAAATCAAGAAAACAGGAACATCGGTTCCTGTTATATCCCTCATAATCCACCATTGAAAACAAGAACATCCTTCATACCATGGACATGGAAAATCCATTCTCCGTGTTAACAGGGTTATTTACCATCTACCTCGGCCTCCTCTTATTTCTGTTTCTTCTTTCATCCATGTTGAGAAGGCGCAGAACCGGCACAGGTGAAACTAGAGAAGCACCGCCAGAAGTAAGTGGTGCCTGGCCATTGATTGGGCATCTTCACCTTCTAAGTGGGTCAAAAGCACCTCACATCACGTTGGGAAACATGGCAGACAAATATGGACCCATCTTCACCTTGCGCCTTGGTGTTCACAGAAACCTTATTGTGAGCAATTGGGAAATGGCCCAACAGTGTTTTACCGTTAACGACAAAGCGTTTGCTAACCGTCCTAAAACTTTAGCCTTTGAAGTATTGGGCTACAACTTTTCCATGGTGGGGTTCAGCCCCTACTGTTCTTATTGGCGTCACATACGAAAGATTCTCACGCAGGAGCTCCTCTCCACGCAAAGGGTTGACGAGCTCAAGCACGTGATGGAATCAGAGCTGAAGGTAACTATGAAAGAAAATTACGATATTTGGCAAAAGAGGAAAATTAATGGTTCCGAAAAAGCAACAACTGAGATGAAGAGATGGTTCGGGGACATAACGTTAAACATCGTGTTCAGAGCGATGGTAGGAAAACGTTTTGTTGGTGAAAATGATAGTGAGAACGAACGGATCCAAAAGATACTGAATGACTACATTCATCTGGCTGGGTCATTCACCGTGTCTGATGCCTTGCCATATTTGAGATGGTTGGATTTGGATGGAGAAGAACAGAAAATGAAGAAGACGATAAAAGAGTTAGATGGGTTGGCTCAAGTTTGGCTGGAACAACACAAAAGCAACAGGAAAAGTGATTCGGGTAACGGGGATTTCATGGACGTGCTTCTTAGGCTTGTTGAGGAGGGTGAAGAGTTTGAAGGTCGTGACGCCGACATCACAATCAAAGCGACAGTCCTGGTATGCATAATCTGCCTTCATCTCTTTCGTATCTGGGCCTTCATTTTAACCTCGTACCTAAGAATATATTTTTTGTCGTTCGTGTTTTAGCTTTTCCTTCTTTTCTTTCTTTATTTTCAACATTATATATGTGCAGTTGATTTTTTTAAACAAATATAGAAACATAAATATGATTATTTCTAATCTATTTGAAATACTTCTTAAAATTTAATAAAAAATGATAGACCAAAGATTATTTGGTTAATAAACTATAGATAAGGGATGGTTTTTTGGAAAGTTGTTAATAATGAATTTAAAATTAAAATTTTTAAAATAAAAGATAAAAAATAAAAATAAAATGACCACTTACGTAGTATAGAAACATGAGAAGCATTCAATTATGTAATTTGTAGGGCTTAATATTGGCTGCGACAGACACTAGTACGGGAACATTGACTTGGGCTCTGGCGTTACTCGTGAACAACCCTGAAATCTTAAACAAGGCAACTGAAGAATTGGACAGAGAAATTGGAATGGGGAAAATGGTAGATATATCAGATTTGAAGAAGTTAGAGTACATGCAGTGTATCATAACGGAAAGCCTGCGTTTGTATCCACCTGCACCCCTTAATTTGATACACGAGTCCATGGAAGAGTGCAGCGTGGGTGGATATCACGTGGCAAAAGGCACACGTCTGTTGACTAATATTTCAAAACTTCAACGAGATCCCTTCATATATCCTCATCCATCGGAGTTTCGTCCAGAGAGATTCTTAACAACACACAAGGACGTCGACATGAAGGGTCAACATTTTGAACTCATTCCATTTGGTGCCGGTAGAAGAATGTGTCCTGGTTTGTATTTCGGTTTTCAGGTAATGCAGTTAACACTTGCAACTCTGTTGCATGTATTTCACATCGCAACTCCTGATGGAAAACCTGTCGACATGCTCGAACGAGTTGGACTAACCAACATCAAGGCTTCTCCTCTTCAACTCATTCTTACACCACGTCTCTCCTCCCATATTTATCATCAAATTTAAAAACTTATTTATAGGAATCCTGTATTAACATCAAAGAAATAAAGTGAATTTAAAATATATAATTATTGAATATGAACTTTATCTCCCAAGTCTTACTTACATGGAGTTAAGTTTGAAATTCTTTTCTTAATATAGAATCATATTTTACCAAAATTTATGTTATTTTTAATGAATTCTTTTTTTCAAATACTATTAATATTAATCTCTTAACATTTATACTATAGGTGTATCGTATGATCATACAGTAAAATTTATATAATAAATTAGATAATCATTATAGGTGAATCGTATGATCATACGTAAAATTTATATAATAAATTAGATAATCATTTATTACTAACCGTTCGAATATCCCAAAATTATTATTATAACACTAATTAGTTTATGGTAAAATATAATTATCAGAATCATATTTAGACTACAGTTAATCTAAAATTCATTTCAAAAATTTATATTCATTTCAAAGATTATAAATATAAATTTGAGATAAAAATAAATAAATAATTGCATTTAATTAGTCTAACGCTTGAAATAATAGATAATTGAGAGTATTTATTAATGACCAACCCACTTTATAACGTATGGTGAAGTTTCTACCTTATAATTAATTTCTCTTTTCTCTTATTATGTTTGTACTCTCCCGAAAAGAATAACCATGAACCATGTTTAAATGAGAAGAAAAATAAATACATATGATCGTGCTTTTATTTTATCATTGAGAAGAAGCAAGAAGAGCGGTGAAAGATGGACACACAGAAATATAAACAAAACATGGTGTTTTTATCTCTGCTTATATCTGAATTCAAAGTTTTAGTGGTAGGGATGTTTTCAACACCACACCATGCGGTACAGGAAAACAACATATGCAAACAAGAACAGCATGTCATGCCACAGTGAAGGTTCAGCATAAGCCAATAACAGCTTTTGATTTCTTCTTTTATCTTCGAATGGTCCATACTCCTACCTATCAAAAGTCTTAATAATATCTCTTTCATCGTCATCGCGAAATCTACTTGTCTGAGAAAAATCTATAAAATATTTAATTTATGGTCCCCTCTGTCATAATCACTCAATAAATAATTCCGTCCATATTCATTAATAATTGCATGTGTCAGTTACGATATTCAACACTTCCGTGTAGAAAAGTCTATTGGTGCGTTTGCAATGAGCTTTTGACCTTGAAAAAAAAGGTTAAATTATGGAGCGTTTTCTTGAGCGGAAATTAAAGTCTACTTTTTGAGGGTGAATTTCATCGTTGAAGGAGATATACAGTGACGACTTTCAAGTATAACATGAAAAAGGATATCTCGACAATCATACCCATTATATGCAACCACTTTATATTTCTGATTTAATATTCTATTATTAGAAAGAGATTATCATTTAGTTATTTAAGAAAAGTATTAGATATGATTTTTCTAAAAGTATTATTCCTGCAGAAGATTTAATTCTTCATAAAATAATTTTCTTAAACATATTCAAACTGTGGATAGAGCCAAGCAATAAGTCTGACAAGTGAAAATTATGTATTTACTATAATAAACATTTTTTTTTTGAAAAAATCTATAATAGACAATGGCTAGATGTAAAATATATAACTTATTCATTATTATATATTACGATTTCTTTAATAACCGTAGCATATAATTATATATGGATTATGATTCCTTTCAAAACCATGACCTATAATTATTAATAAATTGTGAATTTTTTTCATAAATTGTAATCTATTATGTACTAAACCGTAACCTATATAATTTACTATTATTTATTATACCTAGATATATTATAGTTCATTAACTGCCGAGAATAGTTATAGTTATATCTCTGTTGCATTAATGTATATAGGTATCTAAAAACAATGACAAAAAACAGACAATAATATATTAAATAAAACTTTCAAAAGGAGTTTTTAAAATATTTATTTAACTATTATTTTCGTAACTAATAATAACATATTTGTTCTTGACAAATTATCCATAATCATGATTAAATTAGTATCACAACTAAAAAAAATTCATCAAGAAGGTGTACAATTGTTTTAATCTATTGTTTACCAGTTCATCAAGAGGATTACAATTGTTGTGATACATTTAATCTATTGTTTATGAGTTCGTGTCAATGAAAATTTAAATATATTTTTCTTCTTATGGGATACCTTTTGAAAATAAAGTTAAGTAAATAATATTTTGAATATAATTTAATCATCGGATATAAAGTTTGAACCATCATATATGTAGGGGCGAAAATGAGGGTCAAAAAACAAATCCTTATTTTCCCATTTTCTTTAACCCTCAGTTATACCTGTTCAGATATATAAAATATTCTTACATCACGTAGAAGTTTGACGCCAAAATTAATTCAAGTTCAAAAAATAAACATAACAAAATTAAGAAAAGATTATACTTTTTCTTATAATGATATAAGAAATGAAACATCTCACAGTTTTTTTCTTTCTCGTAAAAAGTTGAATTAAAAAGTATAATATGTGATATGGTTAAAATAAGGTTGTTAAACTCGAGAATTTACTTAAAGTCGTGAAAGTATATAGTAAATTCAGTAGACTTGATAGTAAAATTTACTTAAGAATATTAAAATGTTTATAATTAACATAATATTTTTATGGTTTAATGTCTCAATAGGTCTCTATTTTTGTTCAAAATTTGAAATAGGTCCCTTTATTTTTTGACGGAAAGGATTTATTTGCATCAAATTAACAAAAATAAGGACCCAATTGAGACGCCAAAAAATAAAGGGACCTATTTCAAATTATGAACAAAAATAGGGACCTATTGAGACATTAAACCTATTTTTATTGTTATATGGTTTTATAAATGATTTTTAAATTTTTTTTTAATAAAATATTACTATTATTATTAGATTATTATATTATATTTTAGTATTTTTTATATTTTTCTAATATAATTTTATTTTGTAATAAGTTTAATTAGTTACAACATTTTATATAACATATATTATACTTTATATGAAACGGCAAGATAAAACGGCAAGATAGATGGTACTGGAGTGAGGTCCAAAAGCTCATTACAGAAAAAAGAAACCCTAAATCTCACAAAAAAAAAAAACCCTAAGTCTCACCAAACTCTAATCCTATCCATATCTAAGCAGCATGAGTAAGATAACGGCACAACATTGACCGTGATAGCATGCTACCAACAAAAGAGCTTAGAACAACGAGGATAAAATTATACTCCATCAATAATCACATGATGAGTCGCAAGAGTAACAACGTCGAGAGCTTAGAACCCTTATCGCGAAACAAAGGAGGAGAAGAATGTCGAGCTGATTCACATCGGAAGTTTATAATTTCTATTGTTTTTTGGATTTGAAGAAAAATCAGATGAACTCACCAATTTATTTGCCGAATCGCGAGTTTAGTCGAGTTTACAACGAGTTTGCCCCAATTACTACCGAGTTAACTCGAGAGATGGGTGTGGAAAAGTAAATTCGGACGGGAGTTGAATCGCGAGTTTGATAACTAATAATGGAAAAATATTTTGTTTTATAAGTACGAAATATAAAATAGCCAATGAAATAAAATATAAATCGTTGAAAAATAACTTAAATAAAATAAAATACAAAAAAAAAGTAAGGAAAATAATTTATGTCGTAAATTAATCTTAAACTGATAGGTGGTGATAACTTTATTATAACTTGGTAGATTATTCATGTCGGATAAGACCCAGATACCTGAGAATAAATGAGAAAGTGTGTGAAATCTGATTCTTATGACGCGTGAACGTTAAGTGTGCAAAAACTTCGTACAGTGGAAAACACCGTAAGAAGGCCAAAAAAACCGACCAACCGCCATAGCACCAGCCACTAAAGACAGAATATTACTAATGTCTGATTCTCCATTGTCGGTGTCAGCCACACCTCGAATATCGCACCCCCACCGTCTTTTTTCTGTTTCAATAATAAAATCTTAAATAAAGGAATGGTGTCTAAAACGAGATATTCTGCCATGCCATCAGCTCTCATATTATATACTCCATTCCAACTCCACCACAACACTACAGTCGGAAGCAGTTGACGATCAAAATATGTCTTCCACCTCCACGACGCAGAAACGGCAAATCCCAGTGTCAAACGGCAAGGAAATGGAAACTGTAAGCAGCGAGAGGGGCACCGAGGAAGACGAGTTATTGGGAGGGTTGGAGAAAAAAGACTCTTTGTCTGTGACGAGACAGTTGTGCATAAAACCGACTCACAACTCAGAGAAACTCGATAAGGAAGTGGTTCTGCGGCGGATTCGTCACCGGAAGCGGATGAATAAGATCAGATCCGCGGTGGGAGGGTTCCTGTTCTCCACCACCACAAGCGATGCAGCTGCTCAGGGAAAGAAGTGGGTGGATGATGCTTTTGCTGCCTTGTAAATTAATCTTAACCTTGTCTTTATTTTCTGTACCAAAGTTTCTTACTTCACAATAGCTTAATGTCCCATGGATTCAGTTCTTGGTTATTCTTTCTTTGGGGCTTCGTATACATGTGTGTTTTACTGGGAAATTGTAGCAACCTTAAGCAGCTTTCTTAGATTCTTCTATTTCTGTTAGAAGGTCTTCATTGTATATAACTTCGTTCGGCACTAATGTCTAATGGGCCTAGCCTTTTTATCTTCACCGGGAGAATATTTTTTATGTACCCTCTTCTTCATTGAATGGCCTTGAATTGATGAACATAAATACTTATGATACAGAAAGATCGTTCCAATTATTTATACTCCCAATTTTACTAAGAAACATATTGTATTCACACCCGTTAAAAAAAATACTTCCACATATATATTTCTACTAGACAACCCACTTAAATAATATATATTTCAAAGTCTTCTTTTTTTTTATTTTTACATCTTTTAATGTATTTTCAAAAGCATAATTTTGTTTTCCTAGTACTTTGAATAATACTTTCCAAAAACATGAAAATTGACGATGTTTCGTACAGACTGATAATAAACACAAAAATGTGTTTCGAAAAGTATTTCTAAAGAAACATAAAAGGTAGTATGTGATATCCACATGATATTTTGAAGAGTGTTTTGAAAAGAAAAAAAAAAAGACATTGTAGATAAAAAAATACAGTGTATAGGAGTACATTTAGTAAAAGCAGGGTGTCAATAGTAGAAAACAAGAAAAGTTAAAAAAAAAACCTCACTGGACAAATAATACCGACCCAGAAGTACATAAAACTCAAAGCAAAACCGGAATGGGCTTTTATGATTCGAACCGGAGGTCATTGTTTCTGCACCACCATTTTTTCTTCTTGTACTCTCAAAAAATTTATACTTTTTTTTCATCAACAGTGAAGGTCTTAAACATGGATTTGTGGGTGGGGGAAATCTACCTATAAAAACTTTCTTACGTTTAAATTAATAAGAAAATTAAGATATTTATAGTGAGTATAAATAATTTTTTAAGTAAGTATTTCTTGAAAGTATTTATATGATCAATATAAACCATAAATCTATATTTTTATTGGAATTAATTGAGATATATAATAAATAATAATATAATGATAAATAATAATCATAGTACCAAATAGATATAAATGTAGACCACTTTATAATAAAAAAAATTAAAAAAAGCTTATTTGACTATACTCCATGATATCACGATTGGGACCAGATAAAGAAAAGACTACAAGAAAGAGATTTGGAGTAACCTGCAGTTGTGTATTGTTACCATCTCCGGTGGCATTCAGTTGTCAAAAAGTAATAGGAAAAAACCATTGCAATTAAGTGACTCACAATTAAACGTTTTAACTTTTTATTTCTCCCATGTTTCTTTTTCAAAAGTTATAAATAAAAAATGAGATAGAAGTTTCAAGGACAATGAAGAAAAACTCGTTAATTAATGATAAACAAAATTAACTAAAGTGTGTTGAACCTTGAAAACTTATATCAAAAAACAATTTGTCTTGAATTGAATTATTTATTTTTATCAAATTATAATATCAACTGAATTTTTATATATTTTAACTTATTTTGTACTAATTTTGAATTAAACACTATTTTTAAATTGAACTGTACTATTTTTCAACTGAAGTATACTAATTTTTGAATTAAACACTATTTAACTGAAGTATACTAATTTTCAATCGAACTTTTTTAATTAATAAACTAAAAAAGTTAGATTATAACTTTAAATCTAACCATGCAATGTCCCTTTTTATATGAAAATGAATTTTGACATAATGTATTTTCTAAAATGAAAGTAAAAATAGGGCAACAATATGTTACAACACAAATTGAGCAATAAACCAAAGTTCAGATAAATATAACTAAGGAATACCATATTACATAATCCATTTTTTTAAGGAGCCCGTTACAATTACAATCAATTAACGCACTGGTCTGATTTGTTGCTCATTACAAATTCTCTGTTTTAAAAACATTACTTTGAAATTGTACTAACTACTAATAATTGAAAAAACTTTTCTCATAATTCAGATGCAGAGTAGAACTATTATAAGAGAAGCATCAGTTTCTGATGTGTACCAGAAACTAACCTTTTTCAAACCACTCCTCTAAGTTGTGTATCAACATTTAGAATTACTGTATTTGCTTGTATTAATTTTCATTCAAGTGTAAGAAAGGGTTTCTTGCTGCTAATCAACTTCTGATTGTAGAGAAGCATCTTGAGAAAAAGTTGTTCAACCCTCCCTCAAGTCACTCTCTTGTACAATTCACACAGTACATCAATACTCATCTCTCAGGACAAATATCTAAATTTGACTGCTGAAGTTTACAGTCAAATTGAACATTTGAAGATGTCAATTGTAAATTGGAGTCTTGTCTCTGATACTTTCACTTAGAAAATTTTCTGAATGTCAAAGTGACACCTTTCTAATGACTAAAAAGAAGTGTTTTTGAATGTGATGAGAGCATGAGCAGTAACAGAACAGTTGTTAATCATCAGAGAGTGATTTTCATAAAAGATGATTTCTTCAACTAGCCATTCAGCAGTGCTTCATAGGCATTGATCGTGAAAGAAGCATTGATGCAGATTGATCAATGAGTTAGTTGAATGGATGAGGCTTGAAGAGGTTGCTGACACTCATTATAAAGGTACTGAATTGTTGGGTACAGCTCAATTATGCCTCTTGGCCAGCATTTTATGGAGGGAATCAGAAGCGTGAGTCTAACTCTCACGTTGGATAAAAATAAGAAAATATAATAATATATAAAGGGAAAAAATCCATTAATTCATTGTCTTAAAATTTTGGATAAAAAATGATATTGATCCTTAACTCAGATGTTATTGATGTTTGTATAACTTACCAGTAACTCATCATTTCGTACATCCTCGAGCAAATGCAAGAGGTGGTTCCCTAGTGATCCATTGGTTCTGTTGAAGAATCCTTTGATTTTTCTCTCTCTCTTTCTACCGACATTATCTTTCCAAAGCAAAAGGCAAAACACAAAGGGTTGGTTGTGACCCTTTTGCACAAATAAAACGAGGGTGCTGTGTTAAAGAAATACAGAACTTGGTTGGTTCATGGTTGCAGCTTGTTTCTCGCTTTTCCATATCCACATTTTTGGTTTGGACGTTCCGAACAAGACATAGAGATCACCTCTCAATTGGGGAAGGCCTTCTACGATGACAATTGAAAAAGATAACGATACTTTGACAATATTTTTTAACAATATTTTAACACCATTTACGTGTCATTATGTGATTAGTCCAAAAATGTTTCACATTTTGGGTTTGGACGTTCCAAACAAGATATAGAGATCACCTCACGATTGGGGAAGGCCTTCCACGATGACAATTAAAAAAGATAACGATACTTTGACAACATCTTTTTAACAACATTTTAACATCATTTACGTGTCATTACGTAATTAGTCCAAAAATACTCCAGAGTCTCGTGATCTTTAAAGACATTTATCAATGGATGAATTAATCTTGAAAAATAAATGTGATGAGTAGTAAAGCACGGTTAATAAAAACATAAAATAAAACACACTTCAAACAGTTAACTGGCTACTAATACAAAAGGTTTAAGGTTTAATGTCTCGGTAGGTCCCTATTTTCGGCGTGAATCTCAAATAGGTCCCTTTTCTTTTCGGCGTCTCAATTGGGTCCCCATTTTTGTAAAATTGTAACAATTAGGGGTCTGCCGTCAAATTGGACAAACGGCCGTTTAATTGTTTCTTACGTGGCATGAACAGTGTTTTCAGTAATGACACGTGGCATGATTCCCATCTGACACGTAAGAAACAATTAAACGGTCGTTTGTCCAATTTGACGGCAGACCCCTAATTGTTACAATTTTACAAAAATGGGGACCCAATTGAGACGCCGAAAAGAAAAGGGACCTATTTGAGATTCACGCCGAAAATAGGGACCTACCGAGACATTAAACCAAGGTTTAATTTTTAAAATGGTACAAATATAATATAACATAAATAATCTATAATTTAGTGTAATTAAGTTTATTATCCCTGCCTTACTGAAAATTGAGACGGACTGAAATCCTGATAGTGCGCCACAAGATAAATTTATAGCTGCAAATCCTAATGACTAATAATTTTCTTTACTTTCCCTTTGAATGCCATTTATTTTAGAAGAAGTTGTTCATCAGTTCTTTTACTGCAATTAAATGTGTAGATACTTGGTTCTAATATCGTAGTAATTAAAAAGATAAATGACATAGGATGTCAGAAAGATATTTTGGCAATTGAACGCACTCAACCACATGATTTTAAAAGTGATACTTTGATTTATAATTTAATTTAATTTCCTTTTTATGGTTTCAGTATTCATACACTGACGTTAAGCCCACACCATAGTCCCATAATCAGACATTAACCCATAAAATGTTCAACAACATGTTGTACCACGAAAACTCTCTCGCCAAGAACACAATACCACTTACCATCTCATTATTCTGCCTGTTGTTATTTCTCTTTATTCTTTCGTCCATTTCTAGAAAGCTCAAAAACCAGATAGCTGCAACAAGAAAAGCACCGCCAGAAGTAAGTGGCGCATGGCCTTTGATTGGTCACCTCCACCTCTTACGGGGGTCCAAACCGCCACAAGATACGTTGGGCAGCATGGCGGACAAATACGGTCCCATCTTCTCCTTGCGTCTGGGAGCTCACAAAACGCTGGTTGTGAGCGATTGGGAAATGGCCAAACAGTGCTTTACCGTCAACGACAGAGTGTTCGCTAACCGTCCAAAGTCTATGAGTTTTGAAGTGTTGGGCTACAACTCCTCCTTGATTGGGTTCATCCCTTACGGTTCTTACTGGCGTCAGATGCGTAAAATCTCCATGCTGGAGCTCCTCTGTTCTCGCCGCATAGACACGCTGAAGCCCGTGATGGAAGCCGAAGTGAAAGCAGCGATGAGAGAGAGTTATAATTTGTGGTTGAAGAAGAAAAACGGCTTTTCCGAAATGAATAGGTGGTTTGGGAACATAGCCTTGGACATTATGTTCCAAACTGTGGTAGGAAAACGTTTTTTTAGTGACGGCGACGTGAACGAAGAGAACGAAGGGCTCCGAAAAGCATTCAGGGAGTTGTTTGATCTGAGCAGTTCACTCGCTGTGTCTGATTGTCTGCCCTATTTGAGATGGTTGGATTTGGATGGTAAAGAGAAAAAAATGAAGAGAACGGCGAAAGAGATAGATGGGTTTATCCAGATTTGGCTTGAAGAACACAAACGCAACCGAGATTGTGGTTCAGGTGAACGGAAACAGAGCCAGGACCTGATGGACGTGCTTCTTGGACTTGTTGAAGAGGGTGAAGAGTTTGATGGTAATGACTCTGACACCACAATCAAAGCTATGTGCCTGGTACGTCTCAACTTTTACATTGTTACAATCTCTCTTCCTTATTTGTCACGAAAAATTATAATAAATCTTTGATACCGACAGAATAGGATGGTTGTCTAGTTTTCCGTTTTCGTCATCCAACATAATACATACATATTTAGATTATTTAAAAATTAATATCGTATACAACTATGATAGCAATATAACATTAAATATATTAAAATTTTAAATGAACATTTTTTTTTCTATTAAAGTTACAAACAGTTTCTTTCTTTTCTCATTATTGGTTTATCAACGTAGATAAATGTAAAAGGTTTTCTCACTTTTGTATTTTGCAGTCTTTAATTATGGCTGGTTCAGATACCACAACAAGAACATTGGCATGGGCTCTGTCTTTACTTCTCAATAATCGTGAAATTCTACAAGAAGCCATTAAAGAATTAGATACAGAAATTGGAAGTAGAAGGATGGTAGAGGTATCAGATTTGAAGAAACTGAAGTATCTTGAATCTATTATCAAGGAAACACTACGTTTATATCCACCTGCACCGCTTAATTTGCCACACGAGTCCATGGAAAATTGCACAGTGGGTGGGTATGATGTAGCATCCGGCACACGTCTTTTGACTAATCTTTCAAAACTTCAGAGAGATCCATCTTTATATCCAAATCCCCTTGAATTTTGTCCAGAAAGATTCTTAACAACACACAAGGAAGTGGACGTGAAGGGTCAACATTTTGAGTTGATTCCATTCGGTGCAGGTAGAAGAATGTGTCCTGGGATATCTTTCGGTCTCCAAGCGATGCAACTCACACTTGCTACCTTATTGCATGGGTTTGATGTTGAAACTAATGATGGAGGACCTGTTGATATGGTTGGAGACTCTCCCCTCCAAGTCATTCTTTCTCCGCGTCTAAGTTCTCATATTTATGATCAAATATAAACGCTAAATGATGTTGGAGATTGGTAGAATATAATATGTCATGTAAGAATAATAAGCTTTACAAGCATATTATGATAGTAAAAGTGTGAAAGGGGTTGATTTTAATCGTGCAAAGCGTGTATAATCAAAACTTTAATATAATTGGTTTTTGAGTTTTCTTTATTAACTTTCACTAATGTAGAAACAGTGATTTTTATATGGATTGAAATCCAAAATATAGAAAGTCACGTGCCAGTATCGTAAATTTATAAAGTTTCTATACCATTAAATCGAGAATCAGTATAAAAAATGGCATGGAGCCAAAACTCCAATAAATTACCAACTATTTTATATCCATTGAGCACATAATTAGTATAGAAAATTGTTTTCCTATACCAATTATACTGGATAGACTTAGAATCGGCATAGAGAGTGACACTGACCAAAATTCTAATAAATTATAAACTTTTTTACACTAGTTGCATATATAATTGATATAGAAAGTTGTTTTTCTATACCGGTTAGACTTAGAATCAGTATAGAAATTGAAGTTTTTTTGGAAAAATTATAATATTGGACTAACTTCTCTATGTCAATTCACTAGTGGAAAAATGACATTTTATAACGAACCTATTATAATGGATAAAAATTATCCATCATAGGGAGATATTATAACATAGTTTTGTAAATCAGTTATAATATGAAATGCGGTGGCAAACTTGTAAATAAGTTTAAGACATATTATAACATAGTTTTGAAAATCAGTTATAATATGAAACACGGTGGCAAACTTGTAAATAGGTTTAAGACATAACGTAGTTTTGAAAATCAGTTATAATATGAAAAGTGGTGGCAAACTTGTAAATAAGTTCAAAACCTATTATTGATAACGGAGTTTTAGAAATCAGTTATAATTCTTAGAATTGGTACATAAAGTTGTTTTCTATGTCGTTTAATGAGTATAACTTGTATAGAATATTTAATATTCATCTCCTCCTTCCTTTTGTGCTTCACTTTCACGAAATCTATGAGCTTATGTTGTTTCCTTATTCTCTCTATGCTTCCATTCCTTCTCGTTCTCTTTGTGTTGAGCTGTCAATCGTTCTCGTTCTCTGCGCTTCCATTTGTTTTCTTTGCACTAGTGTCGTCATTGGTTATTATCGTCTTTGTCGTTGTGGTGGTTAGTATCGTTGTGGTTCGTCTTTTTCGTTATTGTGGTTAGTGTCACTATGGTTTGTATTTATTGTCGTTACTGGTTGGAGCAACTATGCCAATTTTTGTGGTGGATAGTTGTTGGTGTTTTCTCGTTGGTTGGTTATTGTTGCACCTAGTTTTCTCCTTGCCTTTGCTCCTTCCTTGAGAAGGTTTCTTGGTTGTGTTTTTGTGTTGTAGTGGTGTGGTGGGTCGCACTCGTGGTCTAGTGGATTACGTTGAAGCTTCCTTGCGTGGTGTGATGGATTTTAATACTTCTAAAGTTGTCATGGTGTGGTGTGTTGCTATTCGTGGTGTTTTTCTGATCGATTCCAGATAAGTTTCGAATCTTAATTTACAACTGTTGAGGATGTTGTGTTTTTGTGTATTTACTGTTACATTGCGTTTGTTGAGCGAAAATTTTGATATTATAAGGTACTCAATTTTTTGGAGTTTTTTTATATATGCTATTGTATTCAATTGAAGTAATTTTCCTTCTACAGTAGAATTGATGACAAAACTGTGAGGCTAGAAGTGAGTGGATTTTTGGTGGTGATCAAAATCACTAAATAAATTGTAGGCAAAAGAAAAACGGACATCGATACGAGTCATAACTAGTATGAATGTTTAGGAAGGAGATGTTAGTCTCTTAAATACTTTGAAATGAAACCTATTGAACTAAATCCAACGATTAATTATTTATATTATGGTTTGGTAAGGATGAGTTCAACTAAGCTTCAATTAAAAAGAAATTACAACTCACACAGTACATAACGATTCACTTAAGCAAAAAGAACACAAGTCATGCAAATGTTTTTACTTTAGACACTACTTCATTAACTATTTAAACGTCGTCATGAGAAAATGATCAAATTAACCAAAATAAAAACCTAATTAAATTTAAAAATTAAAACCATATTAAATAAATTAAATGAAAATATGAACTAAAATAGTATTTAAACCTATAAAAACTATAAAATTTTATGTAAAAAGTAGTCTGAAATAGGTAATTTATGTCTCATAAGTAATTACTCTTACGAGAGAAAATATTATGAATCCAAATATATTATATACTCTTGATTCTACAATCTACAATGTAAAACTACTTTAGATAACCAATAAAGTAACTTCATATCTATTTCGGATATTGAGTCAAGTAACTTCTAACACTTTCACAATTTTCTCTTCAAAGTCTTTCAGGTATTAAGTCCTCGTACTGCCTTCACCTGCACCTTCACCTTCACCTCAACCATCTAGAGGGATACTTGCCAAAGTCAGCAAATAATCTGTACGAGAGTCAAAACAATGGTATTAAATGCACAGTAAAGTGATCCCCACCTCTTACATTTGACCTTTATTTATAGTTTTTGAGATGAACATGAGATTAGTGACACCTTAATTTTGGTCCATTGCTCTTAATCACTATTTACCTTAATCTTTGTGGAGAAGACTATTTGTTGAGTAAGGTCGTCCAATATAGTCGGGGTCGTTCGTCTTGTTTGTTGGAGTCCTAGTGTCTATTTGTCTTTAAGTTGTTTAGTTGTTACTTATCTTTCAGGATCGTTCGGCTCCTATGATACACATTATTCTCCAGGACCGTCCGGCCCTACGGTACAATAACCACATATTAGTTTAATATAATAGCATAACACATAAATTAACCGTATCAAACTTTATTTTTGTTGAGATTGAAAAAATGAAAAATCATAGTTGAAATTTTTAACTAAAATAGTAATTATACATTTAAGTAAAAAGTTACACAAAATTCGTAAAATTTTAATCAATAAAACAATCTAATGATATATGGTTTGTATTAATATTCCGAAATCCCAAATTGAATATCAGATTTTATTGTTTTCTCAAAGAAATTCTCAAAATTTATATTGGAGAATATAATTTGTTTAACTTTTAAAAATCTGAGCTGAATATCATAATGAAAATAAATAGTAGAATAAGCTTTTAAAGTCTGAATAAAATACATCCTCATAGAGTATAAACTGCATAAATAAACGATATAAAATAATTGATAGGAAATTGAGTTGTATAGTTAGTGTAAGAGGCAACGAACCAATTAATGTGGCGGAATTTCTACTAAATCCTTCCTTGGTGTGCTTGATCCCTTGTCCTATCTGGAACGTTGACTTGACCACCCGTGAGGAAGCTGCACCAGCAGTTCAGCTCCCACCCGCATTATTCAAAACATGTTGTTGGAAACGGTTCGTTAAAATATTCTTGTGTCATTATCGCGTTCCTTCTTTTTCCATCTATCGCCATTATTTTACGCCTTCCAATAAACTAACTATGCCACCTTAGGAATGTGAACAGAAGACACTACAACAGAGAGAGAAACCTAGGCGTGGAAACAACAAACTCCCCCACCACCCTCTTAAGTCAAGTCTCTTTAGCCATTTCTTACCATTTTTCAATCAAAATACACCCACTCCTATCTACAAAATCTCATCTTTTTCCCTTCCCAATCGTCCACAAAACTCACCACTCACTCATCAAACACAAAACCATGTCTATTTTCTATCTTTTTTCCACTTTTCCCAAGTGAAAAATACCCTACCTTTATATTTATTTTGCTATGATCACTACACAAAAATACCCGCTTTTCTGGTTCTACTTAGCGGCTGAATTCATATTTTTCATTCCATTAACCAGTACCCAATTGCAGCATCACGAGTGCCGCCAAACATGCGGTTCCTCCGATCCTTTCCCTTACCCTTTCGGATTCTCCTCCGGATGCATAATCCGTTTGAATTGCACCGCCGGAAGAGCCTCCGTCGGAGAATTCCCCCTCGAAAAGGTGAGCACATACAGCATAATCGTCAACATCGAAGCTCAGTGCAGTCGTCCGTTCGATAGTTTTGGCCAACTCTTCAGCCACAAATACGCGCCCACTTTGCGAAACGTGATTCTGTTGGAGAACTGTACCGGAACTCCCTTGCCCTTTCCCTGCTCCATTTCGGGGAATCTGGTTCGGACCCGCTTCGAATCCGTGGGATGCAACGGCACAGTATCGGACAATTTGACTTGCTACTTCGAGAACAAAACAAGCGGTTTCGTGAATCGCCGAGAATTGGAGTCTTCCGGGTGCAAGTACTTCATGTCATCTCTTTCATTCCCAGATGTTACAGACGTCTCCGGTGAGCCTCTGTCTTTGGAAGTAAATACAATCGAACTTGGATGGTGGGTCCAGGGAGATCGATGTCTGTGTTCCGATCACGCCAATTGTACCAAGCTTCAATCCCCGGTGGACGGAAAGCCCGGTTTCCGCTGTGCCTGCCGCGACGGCTTCGTCGGTGACGGGTTTTTGGCCGGAACAGGTTGCCAGAAAGGTTAGTTCTGTTTTCCTTATTTTTGTTTTACATCCATAATTCCCCGTTAGCCTGTTTCAGCTTCTACTATAGATTAATCCGTTAGATTAGGTATTTATGATTCAAACTTGCTCTGTACTCATCCTCTTCGTATAAGATGGCGTCATGATCAAAATTGAAAACAAATATAGCGTGGCACTCACCAAATAATAACAACATTCTTTTTCGGACTAGAATAATAATCGTGATTAGTAAGTTAATGCTTCACCTCCAATAAAACAAAAAAAAAAACAATGCTTAGAACAGAGGTTTAATTTAAGCTAACTTTTTATTTTTGTCCTTTGAATTTTCACTCAAGCTTTAATATTTAAATTCTTTTCTGCTCTTTACTCTTACGCTGACATAAAGCGATCACGGACTCTCGTTTCTGTTTGCTGGAAATAACTCCGTGATGAAAATGACCTGTTTTGTAATTTTATTCTATGCTGTGTGTCTCGCTCTTTCTCTATCTCACTAATACTTTATTATGAATACTTTGCATGAGGTTTAATAATTTCTTTTTTAAATAAACATACTTAGGGAATTTTATTGAGAGTAAAAAATATTGACCAGGAATATAGCGTCGTATCTTAAAATTACGATTTTGCGGGGCCATATTTGCAAATTT